CGTTTTGCACGCACCACGTGCTTGCGGGTTGACTGTGGCCTGTTCTGCATTTTGTTTTACATCTGAGACGCACCGGGCTGTGAGCCCCTTGGCGGTGAAGTGGGTGTGGCGTCACGTTTAAACATCCGTGCGCCCGCTTTTACGGGACTTTCCCCTCCAGCGTTTTCTGCGAGCCCCGCTTTTCCACTGCTTTCTCGGATGCTTACAGTTTACGTGTGTGTCTCCGCGCGCATGTATGCATTTCCACAGTGATGAACCGTTTTACTTGCTGCTCAGTTCGCATGTTTGTGCGCACCCTCCCATCCCCCTATCTATGTGCACCTGTCCATGGGCATGAGAGAAGCGGGCCGGGCGTCCGTTGCGACCGTCACCGCTGAGTCCGGACGGAAGGGCAATGCAATTTCTGGTACCTTCTCCCCCCCCTGCGTGTTTTTCTCCCCATCTCAGCCGTTGGATTCTTCCCCGTTTTTCTTTTTGCGTTTGTAGCGGACGAAACGGAAACAAAGAGTAATACTTGGTTTGAGGCTTGTGAATAGTTTGCCACGCTAGATGACAAAGGGACTTCATGACTTCGTCACACCACTATTTGAGATCACATACATGAGTGATCCTCCCCCATTTTCCTTGAAAGGCTCTTTGGAGCGGATTCGTGGGTGGAATGTGTACAGGCTACCTCCTCTGTGGAACCACGGCAGCGAGAAACGGTACAAGTGCACGCACCGACTTCACCGGAACCAACGCATGCCATATGAACTGTCCAATGTCACCGGGGATCCCATCGCCGGCATGTACGTTGACATTCAACTGGTCCTTCGCTACCAACTGAACCCAAACCGACCGCCGCACTTGCCACCTCCTTTAGGTTTTGAAGACTGCATTTACCGGAATCAGAGGCCGAGTCTCCGTGAGGTGTTTATGGAGTTGGTGCCATTGCGTCCTGGCGTTGACGTGAACGATGCGTTGTCTTTGGGAGCGGCACACGGTGCGTGTGGTGTTCAACTGTACACAGAGGCCACCGGCGTCTTCGAGGAATTTCCCCGCAACGAGGAAAATGGCCTCGCCCTCATCTATTCCACCGTCCCCTGGGCGAGGGAGGAGCTGCAAACCACTTTTGATGCTGGTGCCGAGGCCCCTTCCCTAATTGTGGATGATGTGTTCATCAGCTGGGATACGCTTGGCCTATTGAGCCTCAACGAGTTGAGTGACGCTGGCGCGCTGCACACGGAGGAGGATCAGTGGGCTGGTCTTTTTGATTGCTACTTGACCGCGTGATACAACGTTCCCTATTCGGCACGGAGCGGCGCATGCGTTCCTGATTTTGCGTATACTTTTTTTTTTTTGTTATCGTCACATGGAGCTCCCGCCACCCTGCCGTTTTGCACGCACCACGTGCTTGCGGGTTGACTGTGGCCTGTTCTGCATTTTGGTTTACATCTGAGACGCACCGGGCTGTGAGCCCCTTGGCGGAGAAGTGGGTGTGGCGTCACGTTTAAACATCCGTGCGCCCGCTTTTACGGGACTTTCCCCTCCAGCGTTTTCTGCGAGCCCCGCTTTTCCACTGCTTTCTCGGATGCTTACAGTTTACTTGTGTGTCTCCGCGCGCATGTATGCATTTCCACAGTGATGAACCGTTTTACTTGCTGCTCAGTTCGCATGTTTGTGCGCACCCTCCCATCCCCCTATCTATGTGCACCTGTCTATGGGCATGAGAGAAGCGGGCCGGGCGTCCGTTGCGACCGTCACCGCTGAGTCCGGACGGAAGGGCAATGCAATTTCTGGTACCTTCTCCCCCCCCCCTGCGTGTTTTTCTCCCCATCTCAGCCGTTGGATTCTTCCCCGTTTTTCTTTTTGCGTTTGTAGCGGACGAAACGGAAACAAAGAGTAATACTTGGTTTGAGGCTTGTGAATAGTTTGCCACGCTAGATGACAAAGGGACTTCATGACTTCGTCACACCACTATTTGAGATCACATACATGAGTGATCCTCCCCCATTTTCCTTGAAAGGCTCTTTGGAGCGGATTCGTGGGTGGAATGTGTACAGGCTACCTCCTCTGTGGAACCACGGCAGCGAGAAACGGTACAAGTGCACGCACCGACTTCACCGGAACCAACGCATGCCATATGAACTGTCCAATGTCACCGGGGATCCCATCGCCGGCATGTACGTCAACCCTCGGCCGGTCCTTCGCTACCAACTGAACCCATACCGACCGCCGCACTTGCCACCTCCTTTAGGTTTTGAAGACTGCATTTACCGGAATCAGAGGCCGAGTCTCCGTGAGGTGTTTATGGAGTTGGTGCCATTGCGTCCTGGCGTTGACGTGAACGATGCGTTGTCTTTGGGAGCGGCACACGGTGCGTGTGGTGTTCAACTGTACACAGAGGCCACCGGCGTCTTCGAGGAATTTCCCCGCAACGAGGAAAATGGCCTCGCCCTCATCTATTCCACCGTCCCCTGGGCGAGGGAGGAGCTGCAAACCACTTTTGATGCTGGTGCCGAGGCCCCTTCCCTAATTGTGGATGATGTGTTCATCAGCTGGGCTACGCTTGGCCTATTGAGCCTCAACGAGTTGAGTGACGCTGGCGCGCTGCACACGGAGGAGGATCAGTGGGCTGGTCTTTTTGATTGCTACTTGACCGCGTGATACAACGTTCCCTATTCGGCACGGAGCGGCGCATGCGTTCCTGATTTTGCGTATACTTTTTTTTTTTTGTTATCGTCACATGAAGCTCCCGCCACCCTGCCGTTTTGCACGCACCACGTGCTTGCGGGTTGACTGTGGCCTGTTCTGCATTTTGGTTTACATCAGACGCACCGGGCTGTGAGCCCCTTGGCGGAGAAGTGGGTGTGGCGTCACGTTTAAACATCCGTGCGCCCGCTTTTACGGGACTTTCCCCTCCAGCGTTTTCTGCGAGCCCCGCTTTTCCACTGCTTTCTCGGATGCTTACAGTTTTTGTGTTGTTGTTTTTTTGTGTTTCTGTGGAGATGGTGATGATGTTGTTTTTGTTTCTTTTCCTGTAATCTTAACACAAGCACTACTTGCTCCATTGTTATATTTCTGCAGGGAAGGAAGACAACGCTGGTCTCAAGGAATCATGGTCCGCATGCAAGGTGTTGGTCACGGCAAGTCTGCCTCGTCTTTGCCGTTCTGCCGCACGCCTCCTTCATGGCTGAAGATTGCCAGCCGCGATGTTATTGACGCCGTCTGCAAGCTGGCGAAAAAGGGTCTCGCTCCCAGTCGCATTGGCATGCAGCTGCGTGACTCCATGGGTATTGCACAGGTGAAGAACGTCACAGGCCGAAAGATCCTGCGCATTCTCAAGCACAAGGGCATGGCGCCGGAGATTCCAGAGGATCTCTACTGCCTCATCAAGCGTGCCACGGAGATGCGGAAGCACTTGGAGCGCAACACCAAGGACAGGGACACGAAGTTCCGTTTGATTTTGGTTGAGTCCCGTATTCACCGCCTTGCCCGTTACTACAAACGCGTGAAGCAGTTGCCGCCCACGTGGAAGTATGAGTCCAGCACGGCATCCGCAATGGTGGCTTAGGTGCTCTTGTCGGCATTGCTGTCTTTTTTACTTTCTACACTTTTTTTTTTTTGTTTGTTGTTGTTCTTTTTTGTGACTTTTTTGAGGGACAAAGGCGAAAAGTCTTTTGAAAGGCGACCTTCGAAAGAAAAGGTTTAGAGTGCTTTCAGTTTTTTTTTTCCCCTCCGTCGCTGCGTGAATGCTTGCAGTACTTTTTTTTTTTTTTTTTGGTCTTTTGCTGATGATTGATTGTTTTTTGTGGTGCCAGCAGAAAAGGTTTAAAATAGAAAGGACAAGGAGGGAACAACACAGGACTGGGACGCCCACCATCGTTACTCCTCTTTACTGCTGGTGTTGCTTTTGCCGAGTGTTGGGAGTTTTTTCTTCCGCGGCATGGCCTCCAAGGGGTGCTTTATAGCGGTCCTGATCGCACGCACGCATGACCATGTGCCTTTATGTAGTTACACGGACGAGAACTATGCCAACTCCAACGAGATACGACAACAGGAGCAGCGTGTTCTTGAGCGGATGGAGTCCCCTGCAGCAGCAACAGACCGAACTAGCGCAAAGGGAAGTTACTACCAAAGCTTTGACCATCGGGATTGTATCTACTTTGCATTTCAGGACGCCGCAACGGATTTGACGATCATCACGGTAGTCAACAAGTTACTTCTGCGCAACTCGGGAGATGTTGGGGCAATGAATCGTCTTGCGTGCGGTTTATTAGATCTTGTCTTTTCTGAGTTTTTGCAGGCGTACACGGTGAGTGAGATTGCAGCCACCAATGTTCGTCCGTTTCAGTTTATTAAGTTTGACGCGACCCTTCAAAAGTTGATCCGCCAAGTACAGCAGGATAGGCAGGGCAACAACGTTGTGATCGGTGGGCCGGGCGCCGCCTCGCAGGGCTCCGGGCAGCGTCGTCAGGTGAACCCCCACTACGACGCCCTGCGGCAGGAGCTCACGGATGTGCATTTTGTGATGCGAAAGAATCTTGAGGATCTTATGACGCGTGGGGAGAAGTTAGAGACGATGAACCAATTCAGCGCCCAGCTGGTGGATCAGAGCTCGCGCTTCTACAAGAAGACAGTTCACATGAATCGGATGCGGCTGCTACGTCTGTACGGCCCTCCCGCCGTGGTGAGTCTCATTCTTATCATATTCTTTTATTTTTACCTGTTCTAGCCCTCCATTGCTCTTGACGTTATTGCATATCCTAATGATGCGATTAGGTGACGGCGGTGGTGACGGGGATGTGTGCAGAGAACCAGGGAGAGTGGCATGCACGGATGCCTGGGGAAGTGGCGATGCAGCGCAGGCAGTGGCATACATATATATATATATATATATGTAGAGGAAGAAGGAGACCATTACAAAAAGAATAAGAAACAAAAAAAAAAGAAATAAAGAGAACTACAAGAGAAAAAAACGCAATGGTGTCTTCGGTGGCCTTTTATCTCCTGTTGTTGTTTTTTTTTTTTTTTTTTTTGTTTTTTTTTGTTTTGTTTGTATTCATGTATGTGTGTTTATTTTTCTTGTGATGCTTGCGGCTGCTCGACAATTCTTTTTTTTTCTTCTTCCTTCTCCACGCGCGTTATGCACTGACGCCTGAAAGGAATAGAGTTAGCAACAACGAGAAAAAAAAGAGGAAGAAAAAGGAAATTCTTGCGCATGGCGACAAAAGAGATTCAACTCCCACAAGCCCAATCTCGGGAGCCTGTGGTGCACCCCTGTGATGTCATTCAGCGCGGGGCCTTTCATAAGGACAACGCGGAGCGTCTCCACCGCATTCGCACCACACTGGGATGGGGTGCCGCGGCGGACACTGCACTTACGGAGACGACACTTCTTTCCGCCCGCCGCCTCGGTGCGATTCCTAGCAGTTTTGCGTTGTACCATCACTACCGCGGAACTGCTTCGGAGCTGACCCCAATGGACCTGTACGGCCAGCCTGAAGACGACCCCAACGTGCAGCCGTCATCTCGGGCCATTGTGGAGAAGTCCGTTTATGGATACGAGCTGACGATGAGGAACTTGGGCATGTAGTTGGTTGTTGTTCCTGTTGTTTTTTTTTTTTTTTTTTTTGTGTGTGTGTTTTTGTTTTTGTTTTTGTTTTGATGCCCCGCCAAATTTTGCATCTGCTTCGGAAATTTAGATATTTATATTTGTGTGCATGCACGATATTTCTTCATTGGACACGTTGTGCGGAATTGTGGTGATGTGGAATAAGAAAAAGAAAAAAAAAAAAAAAAAAGGTGCGGGACAGAAACAATAGGGCATGGAAACACGAATATTGACAAAATAAGGCATCTGCTTGGAGAGGTCTTTCATATTTGCTGTTTTATTATTACCATTATTATTTATTGTGTGTGTTTGTGTTTATTGTTGTTTTTGTAATTTGTGATGAATCTTGCTTTTAACTCTCTTTTTTTTCTTTCTGTGCGTGTGCCGCCCAACACCTCAGAAGGGCAGGAGCGCACGACCGCAGCAGGAAGCGGGGACCCCCCGCGTAGGGAACAGTGGAGTAGGGAGGAAGAGGAAGAGGAGTGTTATGTTCTTCTGTCCCTTCTGCGGGACGCTGCTGCTCATTGAGCCACACCACCCGACTAACCGGTTTGCCTGCTCCAGCTGCACGTATGTCGCGCCCATCCCTTCGACGCACCTGCTCACAGTGAACCACTCACTGTTGAAGTTCAACAAGACGGTAGAGGATGACGCCAATGTGAAGGCGAATGGAATCAAGACGAAGAATGAAGAGGTGGATGGTGGTCAATTGATTACTGTGCGGTGCCAGAATGACGAGAAGTTCTGCGATGGCAATCGGGCGCATTATGTCCAAATTCAAATGCGCTCCGCAGATGAGCCGGCGACAACATTTTTTAAATGTTTAAAGTGTGGCTTCCAGTGGAAGCAGGATTAACTCCCGCAGCCTTCCTTGTGCTGTCCGGCTTTAAAAGAAGGACTGGCGCTTCTCGCATGCTGTGTTTCTTGCTCATATCGGTTAAGACGATGAAAAGGGAGAAAATGGGAAGAAGAGTGACAGAACTGGATGGTGAGGGGTGTGGTTAGAGATAATACTTGCATGTGTTTGTGTGTGTGTGTGTGTGTGTGTGCACTTTTTTCTTGGCATTATTTTTATTATTTGGTTCTATTCTTTTCTTTTTGGCCATTTTGAATTCCCCCGCAACTCTTTTTTTTTGTTTTTGCCTGTTGCACTCTGTAGCGTTGATGCTGGCTGTGCGATGCCTGGTGCGGCTCTATGAGATGCCGCCCGAGTATGGCCAAATCTCGGCCTTTGACACCCACGGCAGCACCATCTTCGTCGGCACCGACCATGGCGTCCTCCTGAAGCTTGCCGTCGAGGGTGCATCCTTGTCGGATACAGCACAGCAGACGACACAAAATATTACTTCTAGCAAAGCCGGTCCGGACAGCAACGGCCGTGCACATAACTTGGCGACACATGATGCAGCGTATATGCCGATGTTCGCCTCTTCGGAAGCCTCCGAGAAAATTCACACCACACTTGTGCGTTTCACTCTGCTGTCAGCGATGAAAAAGAAAATTGAGCGTCTCCAGCACAGTCGCACACATACTCTTCTATTTGTGTTGTATGAGCATCGCCTTGTTGTGCTGAACTCTGTTAGTTTTTCCCATCTCCAAACGATTGCTGAACATGTTGGAACGTTCTTTGTTTCAGATTCTCAGTCGAACAGTCCTCAACGCGCGGGTCTTCATGTGGTGTGTGCATCCGAGTTGAATGGTAAAGGACTTAGCGTATTTGAATTTGATGCATCCCGGGGCGAAAGCGCACGGGCCATTCTCGCACAGGAGCTTGTGCTCCCTGAACCAGTTCAGACCCTTGTTACTTATGGCAGCATCGCCTGCGTTGGTATGCGGCGCGAGTATAGTCTTCTTTCCCTCTCAGATGGGAGCTCTTGTGGTGTTCTTCCTCTTGGTGGAGAAAAACAGCCGCTGTTGGCAGCCGGTGACGGCGAAGTGTTTATGCGTCACAATCATTCCATTTTTTCCGTGTCGATGCGCTCAATGCCGTCTGGGAGAGTCATGGGAAGGACTATTCGGCTGAAGGACGAGGCGCTTTCTTTTGTTGTCCGCCATCCGTTTCTTTTTGTGTTCACGGAGCATTACTGCGATGTGTTCTCACTCTACGACGATGACATGTCTGGGAGGCTGATGCTGCCTGGGTGTTTGTTTAGCTCCCAGTTAGGACGCGGCGACTTTCTGTACGCGGCCAGCAAGAAAAAGATTTGGATGGCCAGCCTGCACTCGCTGCGTCACCAACTGGCGAACCTTGTGGAATATTTTAAGGTAGAAGAGGCGTTTCACTTGTTGGGCAGCCAGCGGGCAATAGGCACACTGGACTTGCAGGGGATTGAGTTGGAGCTGCACATCATGGCGGGATTTGCCTACCTGCACCACTGTCGTCCGAAAGAGGCGGTGCTGCATTTTAATGATCACATTGATCCGAGAGATCTATTGCTGTCACTTCTCGAGTGCATCCCACCCGGCCCTGAGGAGTACAGTCCCGAACTGCGAGCCCTGCTGGAAAGGAAGCATGTGAAGAAAGACACGAGTGCTACCCCAAAGGCGGGACGCTCAACTACTTTAAAGGCCGGAGTCGCATCCACACATGATGAAAGCTATGAGAATAGTGATAATGACGATAAGGATGGCGTTGACAACTACTGGGCTGAGTGGGAAGGACGCTGTCCCTACAACACATATGCTGGGGAACTTCACCATGCTTGGCTTGAGACATTTGAAACGTTTCCGCTTGTGCCAAGGAACAATGACAATGTGGATGAATCCACATACCGCCAGGTTACGGAATGGGGTGCTGTCACCGCAACGGATTTTCTTGAACATGCGTGGGAATTATTTAAGGATGAGATTGTTCTGTACTTTCGTTTCCGCCTAAGTCAGGCTTCGGATGTCTACGCGCGAGCGATGGAGTACGCCCTGCTGGTACTTGCCCTTGAAGCACAAGATCATCGAGCGGCGTATCGAATTGTTGCATACGGCTCATCGATCCGTCTAGAAGACTGTTATGACTTACTTTCCTCCCTGCGGGAATACCGCCTGCTGGCATGTTTATTGTTTCGCCGTGGATATTTCCAGGAGGCGAATTCGGTATTAATATCGCGTGTGCACGTCTCCAGTATTTTGCCATCTTTAGAGGGTAATTCGCCAGACGCCACGGGAGTAATTTCTCCGGCCTACAAGATCTTGCCAGAGGTGATGCATGTGCACTTGGACCGACTCTTGAATGCTCCCCTAAAGTCACCCTGTATGAATGCAATGCGGCATTCGACACATGAGAAAAGAGTCTCATTAAATATGACGCCAACAACCACGGTGCTTCCCGCTTCCCTTACAGAAGCGATGTACCTGGTAAGCAAGCTCAATTTGTCAGCGCTGCGGGAACTGCTTCATGAGAGTCCTGAGGTCTCATGGACACTGGATGAAGAAGGCTGTTCTTTGCTTCATGTCCTTTTTAGCCTTTTGGTTTTGTTGGAGACGTCTGAACAAGATATGACGCCAGAAGGCAAAAGCGCATTACTGAATCTTGTCTTATCTTGTGCGATATTATTGTTGGATTATGGTGCCCCCGTGGCAATATTGAATGCACAGGGACTTAGTTGCTTGGATGTGGTTGCTCTGGTGGCCGATGATGCTTTACTAGATATCATTCTGACAGCACTGCTTGCCGACAACGATTTGAAGGAAATTGCTGATGCTGTCGAAAAGGGGAATACAATGCCGACTCCCTGAGACGGTTGACAAGCTCCACATCCGTTTTGCTTGTAGTTCTCTTCCTCTCCAATTGTGTTTGTGTGTGTGTATCCGTTTGGTGGAATTGGCGGAAGAGGGAGAAGTAAGAACAATTGTTGCCTACCAGTGAAGCGCCTTTACTTCTTGGTTTGCGCCTCTCTGTAGAGTCATGTGCATTACAAACTCACAGAAGGGGAGAAAGAGAGAGAGAGAGAGAGAGATTCACATGCGACACCACATTCTTTTGCCTACATCTGTCTTTGTTTGTTTCTTTATTTTTCTCTTTTGGTGCTTTGTCCAAAGGAAAAGGTTAGGGAGCAGCAGGCAGGCGTACTGCAATTCATACTGATGCCCTTATTAACGCGTGGGCAGCGGCGGTTGCTGGAGTACGTAGCGCATGACGGTGGAACGAAAGGCCTGAAGCGAAGACGCATGGAGGACGTGGCGCCCGTCTTGCATAAAAGGAAGCAAAAATGGACTCATAAATTTACCACCAAGACGGCGTCAGCCGATGCTTCATTGGCGGAGGTGCCGCTGAGCAGCGAGGTGCTGGAGTTTCTGCGGGAATACTGCCCGAAGGTCCCCCGCAAGCTTCGTCAGAGCCAACTTCGTGTCATCTCGGACCTCAGCGGCGCATTTGGTGGAAACAGTGAAAAGGAGGAGGGAGAGACCTTCACCGTGAAGCGGGTGGAATTGAAGGAAAATGCCGAAGTGTTTGCCGTGGTGGCACTTGCGGCGCTGCAGAGGCGGGCTCTGTGGAGTGGTTCAACGCCACAGGGCGCGTCTCTTTTTGTTCTCGTAGAAACGGACGCGGATGCAGCGGCACTGGCTGCGCATATGGGAAATACGTACAAAATGACCCGGACGCTGGTGTTGGACGGCTCCCGTTTTCCGACGTTTCCGGCCGTTGAGAAGGATGACGCGGCAACCGCCACAACGCTGGCGGAGCGTACGGCGTTGGTGATTGCATCTTTGCAGGCGTTTGTCACGGTGGATGCGCGGAGTGCGATTTGGAAATTTATTGGAGCTTACGCCATTTGGTTGAAGTCGTCCAAACCCCCCGCCTTGCTGCAGGAAATGGCAGACGGAACAAGAAGTGAGCTCGAGGAAAATTGTGCCGGCAGCGGTGGCGTTGTTTGGGACATGCCTCGCTGGCTGTTGTCATTGCTCCATCGCGAGTCTCCCTCTTTGCACCCGTGACGGACACCTTAACGACATCTGTG